GGGGGGGGGGGGAATAAAAAAAACCCAGAGCAAATTGAGTGGAAATGAAAAGAACCAGTTAATTAGAAGCTACGTGCCCCCTTTATTTTAATATCAAAAGCGGTAGGTTTGTGGGAGATTGAGGTTTAAAACTTCCCGCTACACTAACGTGCACTTAATCCCCTTCGAGTTGGAGAAGTCAACGTTGTGTTGTTGTGAAGGTTCCCAGTAACTTATGGTGAGGCTGATGCACAGCAAGCTGACCTGCCTGCTTTTAGTTCAGAGCTCTTGATACACGTTGGCGGGCCGAGTGACTGAAGGAGGGGACAGTTCCCTTTAAGCGTAGTCACCAGGCCTCCGGGACAAGCTGTGCCTCGTGGCTCTTTTTCCAGTCGCTGATTCTCTGCATTGAAAAACCGTGATGCAGATCCGTCCTTCTGTTTCCGTGTTGATGGAAGGACAACATTATATCCTAGTCTCTACGAAAGGACAGTGAGGGGAAAAATGAATGAACGCACGGTTTAGATAGAACATTTCTGTTAATACAGAGCACCCATTTTTATTACAAATTACAGCTTATGTTTATTTATTTATTTGCTTACTTGAAATTTACAGTTTAAGGTTTGCCAAAGAGTTTTCAGTTCATGGATCTGGAAGTTTTTTTCTTTATATTTGTACTTAACTCTTTTCAAAAATTCTATCTAAATTTAAAAAAAAAAGCTTTTTATTTGACTAGGAAGCAACATAAATTTAAACATCAAATAAAATCTAAAGTTTTTACTAAGGTAAAGTCTTTGATGTTATTGTTACCGCTGGCCATCTTGCCAAAATAAAAATAAAAAGTACTCTCGGTATGTTTATGCTTTGTGTATCTTGATTTCGAGATGTGGCTCACCCTTCCTGGGGCGTTAGGGATTGGGGCTGTAAGGGAGGAGGGGCTGAGGGACAGTCTAGATGCTGGGGACAAAAGCATTGCTCAGATCCAAAGGGGGCCTGCTGGCCCTCAGAAGAGTGAGGTCTGGCTGGCTAAAGGAAAGCCATCCGAGGGAAGCTGCTGACATGGTGGCGGGGGTGGGGCAGGTCAGGGTAGAACTGGGGGGAGTTAACCAGCTTAGCTTGTTGGTTTGCGCTGGATCTAAGATCACTGGCCACTTTCCTCATTTCTTGTCCAGTGCCCATCCTGTTTTCTGTCCTATTACTTGGCCCTTCCTTGGGCAGGAAGTGTGGAAGGGGGGGGATATACAGTATCGTGATCAAAAGCTTGTGTCCTTGGTCAGATTGCCCGGATTCGAATCCCACCCCTACCACCGGTTAGCTGTGTAACTGCAGGATTTATTTAATGTCTCTGTCTCCCAGTTTTTCCACCTGTGCAATGAGATAATATCATTTCCACCTGCACCGGCTGTTTACCTGAAATAATTCTTGCCCAGCGCTTAGCCCAGTTCCTGGCTAGAGGACATGTTCAGTCATGTTACCATTATTAGCCCCAATGTTTCAATGGTACCACATTCTTGCCTTGGGATGCTGTTGACACAGTATAATATACCCCAGAAAGATCTTTACTTTTTGTTAAAATGATTAAACAGATGATAATATAGAAATTCATCTCCCATCTCCTGCCAGAGTCATCTCAGATTTATGTGTTGTTTGCTGGGATTTGTTCTTTATTTGTGAGCGAATCTAGGCAATATTGTCATATGAAATTGATTTTTTTAAAGCACCCAAGTAAGATGGGCATCATTCAGAAAGAACACAGGTTAGAAGTTCCCATGACAGAAATCATGTTTCAGGTGAATTGACATTTAGTTAGTCCTGCTCTGTTTCTGTGTGAGAGTCTCATCCGATGGAAATTCATCTACTCAATCGCTGTTTTATTGTCTGCTGTCCTGGAGACAGCAGCAAATAAGCTGTTCAGAGAGGTGACAGGTGAGGTGACAGCTGAGGGGATATTTGACAATGTCTGGAGACATTTTTGGTTGTCACAGCTGGGGAGGGGGTGCTATTGGTATCTCGTGAGCATAGGCCAGCTAAACATTCTCCAACATACAGGAAGCTTCCCCCCAAAATCCACAGAATCATCGGATGTTCAATGTCAGTCGGGCCCAGGTGGAGAAACACCNTCTGCAACATACAGGAAGCTTCCCCCCAAAATCCACAGAATCATCGGACGTTCAGTGTCAGTCGGGCCCAGGTGGAGAAACACGGCTCTAGATAGTCCTGGAAGCCTCAAAGAAGGGGGGAGGGTGGCATTTGGTCTCATTTGGATGTTAGTGGAAGGGCGCTGTCCCTTCCAAGATTTGTCAAAGGAGCATTTAGGAAAGAGGAACTAATGAGAACAAAGTCCCCAAGGCAAGAGTAGGCTGTGGGAAGGCCAGTATGGCTATTGTAGGTGAGATCAGCACTGTGGGTAAATGATACGGGGTTTTGTGGCTGTCGTATGAGTTATTCAAGTTACTCAGTGGATTTTGAGTTGTGAGGAGAGTTTGGACATTGCTGATTGTTTTGACCTTTTCCATTTGATTTTATTTTCCACAGAATTATGGCCTTGAAACCGACAACATGAAGAACTTGGTTCTGAAATTGCGAGCGTCTTCCCACAACTTACAGAATTACATAAGTAGCCGGCGGAAAAGTCCAGCTTATGACGGGAACACGTCCCATAAGCCCCCCAACGAGTTCCTGACTTCTGTGGTGGAGCTCATAGGCGCTGCCAAGGCCTTGTTGTCTTGGCTGGACCGGTGAGTTACGGGGGTGCTGTACTGTCCTGTGACAGGAGGGCCCAAGAGGCACAGAGGCCTGTACTTTGTCTTAGGAAAATGAACCATTACCCCTTCCTTGGCGCTTCCACTGGACCTCTCCATGAGTTCTGGATCAGTGGGAGATTTTCAGGTCCTTTTGGAAGCTATTGAAAAGTGGCCAGCAGGAACAAACTAACCTCAGTTTAGAGAAGAGAGAAACTGCTAACGTTGTATATTACTGAGGTTAAATATTAATGAATATTTGGTTGTATGAAGGCTGCTAGTTGACTTCTGAAGGGACATTGATTCTAGGCTCATTTTTTAATTGGGTTTTTTTTTTTTTTTTTTTTTTTTTATAAATCTAGCACTTCTCTATTTTCTATTCAGATTTCCGTTTTGTGTGTTACTTGAGGAAATGGAAACATAACAAATTAAGCTAGCCTGTTGAGGAGCTCTGCTTGTCGGGATAGTGTGGGATCCCAGTGGGTTCCCCTCCCTGACCCCCACACTTTTTAAAGAGAGTTTTTGTTGCTTTCCAGGGCCCCATTCACAGGGATCACCGATTTCTCAGTCACGAAGAACAAAATCATTCAGCTGTGCTTGGATCTGACCACTACAGTCCAGAAGGTCAGTATGGCATTGTCGCCTCTTAACCTGTCTTTCCTCCCTTCCCCCTTTCTTCTCTTCAAAGGGTTTACATGCAGGTATGAAGTATCATGCTTCTCTCTCCATTTCCCCCCATTAGAACTGGGGAGAGATGGAAGCCTTTAAATTAGAGGCATTGCATAGATGTCTTCTGAGCAAATAACTAGTGGCCTTTACCTCTAAGATTACCTTCATTTATTTCAAAACAGTGGAGCTAATTGTCGTATACTTTCTCTAGAATGTTAGAGCACTTAACTTTTTTTCAGTAGAAATTCAGGAGTCACTAAATTTCACTATAATCTTTGTTCTTAGTCTTTTCTTTTTGACCTGTGGTGGTTGAGTTTATCAGTCAGGATGAGCTAGGTTATGATGCAGTAACAAATAACCCCCAACCTCAGCTGTTTATTTCTTGATTATCTATATCCAGATGGGCCATCTTGGGGATCTGCTCCAACTCTCCTCACTTCAGGATGTAGGCTGGCAGAACAACCAGTAACTCATGTTCCTTGTCCCTTGGCAGAGGGACAAAGAACCTTGGAGGATTTCACACTGACAAATGTTCTGGTTTGGAAATGACAAGTGTCAATTTCACTCACAGCTCACTGTGAGCAGATTTATATGCATCTGTAACTTAACTAGTTTCTGTAACCTGAACTTTAAAAAAATTTCTTATTAGACGATCAGCTCTTAAGATCACTTCTCGTCATAGTCCCTGGCACCTAGCAGACACTGTAAAACATTTTTGAATTGNCAGCTCTTAAGATCACTTCTCGTCATAGTCCCTGGCACCTAGCAGACACTAAAACATTTTTGAATTTAATTGAGGCTATAAAATGTAAGGAAGAGATTGTTCTTTTTTCACATTCCACTTGTTTCTAAAATTCTGATTACACATGTGTTCCCACCACTGATTTGGCAGAAAGTAAAGTGTGTCATTTCCTCAGTCCTGTCCATGCCATATGACAGGCGCAGTCCTGAAAGCAGTGTGCTTTCCGCCTGTTCCTGGATCGTGAAGAGTGAAGTTTGGCTTTGCGCAGGGCAGCTGTTTGAGGTCCAGTCCTGAGCAGCCACTGAACTTCAGGCACATGTGATTCATCACATGCTTTCGAGGCCGTGTTCTTAGAAAGGAGCTTGGAACCACTAAAGTGGCTCTGAGTTTTTGCTCTGTTTTATGATGTGTAAAGTAATTTTGACAAAAACAGTCTGATAACCACTTTTGATACATAAATTAGCCAGCCCCCAGCCACCAACACCTTGAGCCTTTTTTTTTTAATTCTTCACCCGAGGATATTTCTTCCATTGCTTTTCAGAGAGTGTGGAAGGGAGAGAGAGTGGACGAGAGAGAGAGAGAAACGTTGATGTAACAGACACATCAATCGGTTGCCTCCCACACGCATCCTGACCAGAGCTGGGGATTGAGCCGGCAACAGAGGTACGTGCTCTTGGTTGGAATCGAACCCTGGACCCTTCAGTCCACAGGCTGACGCTCTAACCCCTGAGCCAAAACCACCTAGGGCTTGAGCCTTTTTTTCTTCTCGGCTTCCCTCTCTCCACTATATTCTGCCTGTTTTGATTTTTAAAAGAATTTACTTGTGATCAATTAAAATGACAATGTAAGAGTTGAACATTGTAATTAACAAATGGGAAAGTTTTGCTCATGGATGTGTCAACTGATGGTCATTGATGCCAGTTCAATGCCAACAGGAATCCCCAATTTGGGGTGTTTTAAAGAAGGAAACTATTCAGTGCAGAACAGCTCAGTTGTGATACAGCTGTGAGGCAGCCCTGGGGCCAGCACCCTCTGGCTAGACAGTGCTGCTGTGTGCCGCTCCATTCTGTGCCAGTGTCCTTGGGCCTGCAGGGGTCTGCTGCTCCCCTCTGCTCCAGCCAGACATCTCTGGTGGGTCAGCTCAGCCAGGGAAACTGAGTCTTCAGAGTTCCTTGGAAGGGGAAAGTAGCTCTCCCCTGCCACAGGGGAACTGACTTATATAGACAGAAGTCCTTGCCTCTGATCCCTGATTGGTCTTTCTTTATGCAAATGAGGACTCCAAGTCCTTACAGTTTGATTGGTTCAAAAGGCACTGTCCTGATTGGTCAGAATAGCGCTGCTCTGGTTGGTCAGAGCTGTGCAGCTCCGATTGGATGGGGACAGCCTCAGTCCTGTTGGTTGAAATAAGATTCTAGGAGCTACTTTATAAGGGCTGCTCAGCCGGGGGAAGGCAGGGCAGGCGGGCAGTTCAGTGCAGGCTTCTCCCTAAAGTGCAGGTTGTGTGAGTGACCCCTGTGTAGAAATGGCTGCTGGGCTCCGTTTTTCTTTTTTATGAAATTTTTTTTTTTTAAATATATCTTTATTGATTTCAGAGTGAAGAAGGAAGAGGGAGAGAGAGAGATATCAATGATGAGAGAGTCATTGATTGGCTGCCTCTTGCACGCCCCCTGCTGGGGATCGAGCCTGCAACCCGGGCATGTGCCCTGACTGGGAATCCAACCACGATCTCCTCGATCCTAGGTCTATGCTCAACCACTGAGCCATGCTGGCCGGGCTAATGATGATTTTTAAATGTATGTCTAAGTGAATGAGGTAACACCTCTGACGAATAAGCTGATGAGAATTTGTCTTTTAGGAGAAATTTAACCTGTATTTAAAGGATACAAGAGGTATTGTTTTTGTTCACTTGTGGTTCATTTTTTTATTTTGTTTTCCCTTTGGTGGTCATTGAGCATAGGCTTCAGGGAAAGAGAGGTTCCAATCCTGTCTCTACCATTAATTGGCCCCGGGACCTCGGACAAGTCACTGAAAACTTATGAATCTCAATTTTTTTCCGTCTGTAAAATGCTGATGCTTACCTCACCAGATGATTTGATGGGATTTCTACAAGGTATTGTTGAGAAAGAAAAAGGGGAAAAAGTGTAGTAGGAAGACACATAGTGACCAAAAAACATTTTAATGTATGTATACATGTATTTGGAATATATAGATGCATGCAAAGAACTATACACAAAGGAATATATAAGCACAGCGGGCAATTTGGAAGAAAAATTGAGTTTACCTAAGTAGGGAGAGAAGTGCAGAGAAGCCGTTGATCTATGCTCCCAAAGTTTTGGTGACATGAAAACTGGGAATCACAGTGGTGAGAGGCAGGATGACAGGGGCAGGTGCTGACTTCCAGTGGGAAAGAAATGAGAAAAGTGGAAAGAAAACCGAGTGGAATCAAAGACAGCCATGAAAGCAGGCGAGGAAAAAGCCAGGAGGCCGTTTATTGCATGTGGGTTATGAATCAGTTGTGTACTACATACTTGACGTGTGTTATCACATGTAAGTCTCAACAGTTCCCCGAGGTAGAGTTTAATGACCCCTGATTTACAGGGAAGGAAACAGGCATGGAGAGGTTCAGCAGGCTGCCCGGGGCTCCCGTGGTAGTAAGGAGAGCGTGGAGGGAAGGGGCACCTGATGGCTGCCCGGGCTGGGTCCCTGCCTGCCTGCTGGTCCAGGTGACCAAGCAGTGTGACAGTTCTCAGCCCATTGTCTGGCTCAGGAGGAGGTGACTGGGTCCAGTACTCTTTCCATTCTATGGCCTTCATGCCAGCAGCATGACGTCACGCCTGCAGCTGCTTCCTCCCAGTAGGGATGGGCGTGGGAACCCACGTGCATGACCGCGGAAGCCATGCTCAATGACGTGAGCCATTCGGGGAGGCGGGAGAGATCCCCTCACCCAGTGGCCCTCTCGCCACAGTGAGAAGCCGTTTACTTGGTGGCTTCTCGGCTTCATCAAAGGATCAGTATCATCGAGGTCACACATCCACCTGAGTCTCGGGCCCTGGTGTATGGAGAGGAGCGCTCTGCCTGAGGGTGACTATCTCATGTGACGATGGTGCTCGGTCATTTCGGGATTTGTACTGAGAGATCATAAATACAAAGTATCAGTTCCATCTCCAGCCTGAGACCGCACAAGCGGTTTTCCTGAAGTTGACCTCTGCTGAGCGATTCTGCTCTTCGCTGGTGCTGACAGGTGTGTGCGTGTGCACTGTCGTGGTCGTTTCTGTTTTGTGCCACGCTCGCTTTGGAGGAGGGAAAGCACATTTCTGCGCTCTAATTACTCATGTTTTGCAGATGCTGTTCCCATCGTTTGAATTTATATCAGACTCACGCATGTAAAAATGCATTTCTGAATTTCTTTTTATAACCCTTTTCTCACCTGGCTGCTCTTTTCCCTGAGAGTCAGTGTGAATTTTAGGAGCAGTGAGAAACTATTGTTGTTTCTCTCACATTTGTACCAGGCAGAGAAAATTTTGAAAAATTTTAAGAAGACACTGAAAATCTGATAATAAAATCCCATGGGGTAGAAATTGGTAGCTCTTTCCATCCCCACTCTGGCGTGACCGAAAGTGACTTTTTGATGGAAGGGAAACTCTGACAGTTCCGACAGAGTTGATGAATATCCTTCATGTACATAAAACAGTTAGCATTTCCCCTAGAATGTCCCAGTTTGGGATTATACTGAAGGGCGCTGAGCAGACTGAAGGACGTCGCTGGCCTCCCTTTCCTTCTGCGTGCACCCCGCCTCCTGGACTGGAGTCCTCGGCTGCAGGCAGGTTCCAGAAACTGGGGGAGTTTCTCGCTGGTGGTTTCACTTTGGCTGCTTCTGAACAGGACAATGGCCATTCCTATAATCAGCTCACTGGGTTCATACAGTTTCAAGTCTTTTGTTCTTAAGCTGAGTAAATAATGCTTTGCATTCCAGCCCCTTATTTAATGTCATTAATAGCATACCTCGAGACCACATTTTTGGCACTGTGTTAAATGAATGTTTTGTCGAACCTTTCTCATCTATTAAGGACAGAAATACCTGATTTAATCTCAGTGGTGCTTAAAATAAACTTTTGTGGCTGAGCCCTTATTTGAAAGCTGTTCTTATAGGCAGGCCCAGAGCTAAAGACGCCTGGCTGGTTGGCCCAGTGCTGGCTGAGCCCGGGTCACATTTGGGAGCCATCAGAGGTCCCATGGACTTTGACTTCTGGCTTAGTAGTCTCTGCACAGCCTGGATAGCAGCAGGTGCATTTCAGCTCAGTGATTTTTGTGGGTTTTTGGGTTAATCGGTCAGATGGGTTCCTGGGTTGATAAGCTCCTGGGATCAGGATTGAGCAGAGCCGCAGGAGGAGTCACATGGTCACTCCATTCGCACTCTGTCCTCTCTCTCCCCAGGTCTCTCCGTCCATCCGTCTGTCCGTCCATCCAGGAGTGCTCAGGCTGCAGGGTGGGGGATATGTCAGGGACCATCTTGGCTCCAGGAAATATCTAGAGCGCTTAAGCCAGCAGCTTCTGAAAGTTTCGAGTTCTTGCATTTAGTTTTCATTTTTCGTCTTCTCTAGGATTGTCTTGTAGCAGAAATGGAGGACAACGTTCTCACCGTGGTAAGTACCCGTCTCACCGTTATTTTAAAATTCCCTTTCCCGAAACAGTGAGAATTACATAACGTAAGGTCCATGCCCTGTGGTCAGTTATTTCAGGGTATGCTTTGAAATGTTGGCTTTGGGGATATGGGTCTATTAATTTAGATGGACAGGGAAGAATAAAAGTTATTTAACAACAAGACTGACTACTGTGAAAATTCCTGTGCTGCTGAACTTGGATATATTGGGATCTCTCCTTTGCTTTTTTAAATTTTCCTATGAACATTTCGTCCATGTGCAGTTATACTTAAATTGATGGCTAGCCTGTTAATTAGGGTTAAACTGATCTGCAAATTTTGCTTTAGACCGTTTTGATTAAGAAAAAAAAAAATCTTGGCAAAAGCCTTCTGATGGAGGGGAAGGCGGGGGCTGCTCAGCAGTATTTTGTAGCTATTAATCATTGCTTCCTCCTTTTGACAGGAGCCAGCCTGTGCTCTTTTGATAAGGCCTTCCTCCCTCTGATGCTGAGAAATTTAGCAGTGAAACTGCTATAAATATATTTTCCATAAATAGGGAGGCCAAACAAACTGGAGGAATTTAAAAAGTGTCACTTGTTGGATTCTCCCCCTTGGGGGGAAAAATCACTCTTTGGAATTTCCTGATTTTTCTGGTGGTTTAATTTTGAAAGGTTAGATGGATCTGATTGGGGGAAGTAACCACATGGAACTACTGTGGTTTCTACACGGAGGCCGTTTAATAGAGATCCTCACATTGTCTCTAGAGTTTTACTTTGTCAGTGTTTGGTATTCAAAGAATGTGAGCATTGCCATCATAAAAAGAGATCGTGAGACCTGAATTTGAAATACAAAACTATAAAACTCCTAGAAAAGAAACAGGAGAAAATCGAGGCAACCTTAGGTTTGGTGATGACGTTTTAGATGCAGCACTGAGAGCGTGAACCATGAAAGAAAAATCGATGGGGTAGACTTCGTGAAAATTTAAAACCCTGCTCCATGAAATGCAGTGTTAAGAGAAGGAAAAGATAAGCCCAGACTGGGAAAAACTATTTTAAAACACTTAACAGGTAAAGGACTTGTATCTAAAATATACAAAGATTCCTTAACACTCAATAATAAGAAAACGCAGTTATAAAGTGGGCAAAAGATCTGAACTGACACCTCACCAGAAAAGATATACAACTGGCAAATAAGTATCTGGAAAGATGTTCCGCATCATGTTTCGTTGGAGAACTGTAAATTAAAACGACACCACTGCACACTTAGTAGAATAACTAAAATTCAGAACATGACAGCACCAAATGCTGGCAAGAATGTGGAACAACGGGAACTCTCTCTCATTGCTGCTGGGAATGCATGGTGCAGCCACTTTGGAGGATGGCCTGGCAATTTCTTAATAAGTCTACACATACTCTTACCCTAGGATCTAGCAATTGTAATTCTAGGTATTTACCTAAAAGAATCAAAAACTTGTATCTACAAAAAACTTTCACAGAATGTTATAGGAGCTTTGTTCATAATTGTTCAAACTTGGAAGCAACCAAGATGTCCTTCAGTAGGTAAATAGATAAACAAGCTGTGGTACATCCAACGATTTATTACTGAATTCAGCAAAAAAGAGAAATAAGCTCTCAAGCCATGAACAGATATGGAGAGACCTTAAGTGCGTCTTACTAAGTGAAAGAAGCCAATCTGAGAAGGCTACATACTGTATAATTATAATTATTTGACATTCTGGAAATGGCAAAACCAGAGAGACCGAAAAATTCAGTGATTGCTGGGGATTCGCAGTGGGGGAGGGGCAGAGAGCTGACCAGGTGGAGCACAGGGGATTTTCAGGTCGGTGAAATGATTCTGTATTATCTTGCAGTGGTGGATCCATGACATTATGCAGGTGTCAAAGCCCGTAGACCTGTACAGCACAAAGGAGAACCCTAGTGTCAGCTATGGACTTTAGTTAACCTTTATCGGACGAAAGGGAACTTTAGTTCCCGGCAAAATGTAATTTAAATTGTAAATGTAATTTTTATATTTTTTAACATCAGTAACATATATTAAAAGATAACTTTAATAATAAACAATACATTTACTTCTCAAAAAGTAGATAAGATAGAGGCAAAAAGTAANTCTGAACTGACACCTCACCAGAAAAGATATACAACTGGCAAATAAGTATCTGGAAAGATGTTCCGCATCATGTTTCGTTGGAGAACTGTAAATTAAAACGACACCACTGCACACTTAGTAGAATAACTAAAATTCAGAACATGACAGCACCAAATGCTGGCAAGAATGTGGAACAACGGGAACTCTCTCTCATTGCTGCTGGGAATGCATGGTGCAGCCACTTTGGAGGACGGCCTGGCAATTTCTTAATAAGTCTACACATACTCTTACCCTAGGATCTAGCAATTGTAATTCTAGGTATTTACCTAAAAGAATCAAAAACTTGTATCTACAAAAAACTTTCACAGAATGTTATAGGAGCTTTGTTCATAATTGTTCAAACTTGGAAGCAACCAAGATGTCCTTCAGTAGGTAAATAGATAAACAAGCTGTGGTACATCCAACGATTTATTACTGAATTCAGCAAAAAAGAGAAATAAGCTCTCAAGCCATGAACAGATATGGAGAGACCTTAAGTGCGTCTTACTAAGTGAAAGAAGCCAATCTGAGAAGGCTACATACTGTATAATTATAATTATTTGACATTCTGGAAATGGCAAAACCAGAGAGACCGAAAAATTCAGTGATTGCTGGGGATTCGCAGTGGGGGAGGGGCAGAGAGCTGACCAGGTGGAGCACAGGGGATTTTCAGGTCGGTGAAATGATTCTGTATTATCTTGCAGTGGTGGATCCATGACATTATGCAGGTGTCAAAGCCCGTAGACCTGTACAGCACAAAGGAGAACCCTAGTGTCAGCTATGGACTTTAGTTAACCTTTATCGGACGAAAGGGAACTTTAGTTCCCGGCAAAATGTAATTTAAATTGTAAATGTAATTTTTATATTTTTTAACATCAGTAACATATATTAAAAGATAACTTTAATAATAAACAATACATTTACTTCTCAAAAAGTAGATAAGATAGAGGCAAAAAGTAAATGCCTGCAGAGCTGAATTTAAATGCCCCAAAAAGCTCCGGCAGGGAGACCCCACTACGGGAATTTAAATGCCATCTTTTAAAGGTTAATAATCTCTCAGTATTGGTTCATCAGCTGTAACAAATGTAACACACTAATGCAAGATGTCAATAATATCTTGTTATCATTACATTATAATAATATAACTATTGGAAACTGGTTGGGAAAGAAAGTATATAGGAATTCTGCACTTTCTGTTCAATTCTTTTATAAACCTAAAATTGCTTTAAAAAATGGAATTTATTAAAATAAAACAGGTGCAGGCAAAAATTTTTAACCTTGTCAATATTTGATATGCAGCAAATGTGAGTGATCACTGAAAAATCACACATGTTTGGGAATCAGTGATTCTGCTTAACTGCTAAAGGGGGTTCCTGCCCAGCTTGTGCCCTTCCGTGGTTGTAAATGAGATAATATAAAGCTGCACTTTTTAAGCAGAGTGGAAATAGGAGCATCATTCCTACGGGTGGCAAACATGGGGTTAAAGTGCCATGTGCGCACCAAGCAGCAGTATCAGAATGACTGCTGACCAGAGCTAAAGATTATAGGTGACGTGCATTTCTTTAAAATCCAGCTCGAGATAAACCTGGTTAATGATTGAGCCTGTCCTGACATTTTGCCTCTCCTGCTCTAGGTCAAGGTTTTAAATGGCATCTGTGACAAAATAATCCGCTCTACCACGGACCCTGTCATGAGCCAGTGTGCGTGCCTGGAGGAAGTCCACCTGCCGAACATCAAGCCCGGGGAAGGCCTGGTAAGAACTCCAGCGGCACTCACTTTATTTTCAGATAGTCACACACTCTCATTTATTGAAGCTATTTTCACAATAACTTATTGCTTCCACTATCACTTTGAATGGAATTGAATGAGACCGTCTTCCTTCATGTCCCTAGGAATTTGCCATCTTGAACTGTTTGATAGGTTTTACATCTTCAAAGTATAAAAATAAATACAATTTTAAAACTGCCCACTTGTATCTTGAAGAAATTATCTTAACAGTTTTATTTTTAGGACTTAGCAGTGCAAGGAAATAGAAAACATTTACACAAAGGAAAGATGGTCTCTGGGTACAAAACAGCATGAGCTCTGAGAGTCACTTGTTAGCGCTTAGGATGGAGGTGAGAAGAGGCTGCTTGGAAGAGATGATTGTTGAAAAAACACACTCAGAAATGTTTCACCAGTAATGTGCAAGCTCTGTAATAACAGGCCTTGAGAATACACACAGGTAGGTGCCTGGCTACCTAGATCAGCCCCTAGACACCCAAATCTCCCAGTCCCTAGCATGTGGCCAATGAGATTAATTTGCTGAAATCTAAGGGAAGAAACTGTGAGGCCCATTGACGAGCTTAGAGGCTTTGAGTCCGGGTTTAATTTCAGCCCTCAAGTGACTCAACCTCTTTATGTATCAGTTTCCTCACCTGTCAAAAGTGAATAATAATAATTGCCTCCACGGGGCTGTTGAAAGTATTAAGTTAGATGATGGATGCTGAGCGCCAGATGCTGGACACATAGTACATGTGCAGTATTTGGTGGCTATGGCCACTGTAGCTGCTGTGGACAAGGGGGCGGGGGCGGGGGAGGGAGAGTGCCTTGCAGCTTTGGGGGTGACATCAAGGCAGTCTCTGCTCTCAGAAAACCAAAAAACAACCAAAAGTCGACAAGCCCTCATTCTTAGTAAGTAGAAATATATATACGGAGACGGCTTGGCTTCAAAGTAAGTGCTGGATTGTAGCAGACTGGGCAGGAAAGGCTTATAGGGGTGAGTGTTGAAGCAGAGCAGTAGCCCGAGTGGGCAGAAATGGAGTTGCCCTTTCAGATGGTAAAGTTCTGCAAGCAGGTGCTCTGGGCAGAGGAGTACCGCGTGTAGGGAGAAGCCCATCGCTCTGGGAATGAAAGGCACCAGGAAGGAGAGGAAGAGGGAGAACCTTCGAAGGTGTCATATTTGAGGAGATTCTCATTGGACCGTGGTGCGGGTGGCTGAGCAGGGCAAGTTCAGGGTCCAAATGACTTCTTGGGAGAATCTATGTTACTGTGGTATTGGTACCAGGGTGAGCAACTACTCTTTGCTCAGTCTACCCTTTGCTCTCCCTCCCCATCTTATAAAAGTTTAACAAATGTTTTTTATACATGACATGCCAAACTGCAGAAGTGTGTCCTCGATGACACGGCGGACTCCCCTCTGCCTTTCCCTCGCTGGCCTTTCAGGAAGGAGTGTATTTATCTTCTGCTGCCCTCAGAATGGAAGGGTGCCTGCTTCTAAGTTGTGTTATTTACTTCTTAAGTTGTATTATTTAACGATCTCCGTTCACACATGATGGTCTGGGTTGTTAGTGGCTTGGGTAAGTCACCCTGCAATGACGGCTGGTACCAAATTTAACTGCATCTTTTGTGTCACTGGACAAAGAGATGGTCAGGGGAGAACAGCCCTTGTTCGAAAGGCCTCATTCACTCTGCAGGGCCGAGAAGATTCCTTCCGAGTCCCCAGAGTTGTGGCAGAATTCGGTGTGCCTGGCACACAAAGGACAGCATCAAAGAGATGTCGCTTTCTGATTTCTTTCAGGAGCATTTCGGTGGGTTGAGTTGCCCTCCACCGCTCTCAGGATCTTGTTTCACAATGTTTCAGGAGGCTTAACAATGAGTATTGTTCTGCAGGGACTGCCTTTAATGTTTTATAAGTTCAAGTTGCACTTGCGGCTGTATTTCTAAACGTTGGAGTAATGAGTTAATATATTTGTGCCTCACTCTAGGGCATGTACATCAAGTCAACCTATGACGGATTGCACGTGATTACGGGAACCACAGAGAACGTAAGTGCCTGTCCGCCAAATGTAAAAGCTGTTGGATGTTTAAACAAATTAGACACAGAGCCCACACTTTCCATTTGAATGTGCGCACGCTGTTTGATTCTCGGTGGTGAGGGTGTGGGTGCCTGTTTTGCTTATTTCTGTTGCTAGCACACTGCTTATCACCAGCTGTTGTCAATTTATTATTTAAATTGTCCCTTATTGCTGTTGTTAACATACGTTGCCCAGTTGTTACCTCCGCCCTTGTGTTAATTATTTCTTTTGCACCCTGGAAGTCTTAATGCATAAATACAAAAACCATGATCTCTTTGCTGTTGAGAATCACTCTTATAAGAACTGGAATTATTAAGCATATGTATAAAATATGGTGTTTTTTTGGTTCAATGGAATTTATATGTGTCACCAAAGCAGCTGTTTTGGGATTTTTGCCTGACATAGATTCTTTTTGTAGAGTTGTATATGATAATATTTGGCATGATACTGAGATTTAGGAGCTCCCCCCCAATCCTTTGAATAGAAAGATCAGGGCTCTTGTCTGCTGTGAGGGACGTTGGACACAGTTGTCTGTCTTTTGGAAATTCTGCCACATGACTGGTATTTCTTTAGCCCCTCAAACATTTTGAATTTGTGGAAAGTAGCGCTAAGGGAAGGCTTTTTTTTCGCAGCCTACACTATGGCTAGCTTCTAAATGACCTTGATATGCAGCTTAAAACGTTCGACTCACTTCCAGGATCTGTATAAAGGAAGCATGTGTCTGTGGAATTAATCTACTATTTAATCAACTAAGATGAGGAAATAAGTTCTTAAAATAGAAGAAATTTGGTAACAACTTTTCTAATCTCTTTGATGGAAATACATTGGTGAATTTTAAGCTTCAGCTGCTAGGTCTTTTGATAAAATAAATTGGCATGATCTTTGGTGGGGATTTGTGACACACACTTGATTTTTGTAGTAATGCTTAAGGCAGTCAGTGGATTATAAATAAATTGTGTGTTTCTGGCAGACAAATGAGTAGAAGATGGTAGTGTCTTTAAGCATTCTTTGTTGAGCTACGTTGAGAACACACTGAGAACCAGTAGGAATTTTTTAAAACTGATTTTAGTGAGAGAGAAGAAGAGGGGGGGAGAGAGGAAGGGAGACACCGACCTGCTGTGCCACCTATCTATGCATTCTTTGGTTGACTCTTGATTGAGTCTTGATTGTTGTGTGGACCCTGACCGGCAATCTGACCGCAACCTTGGTGTATCGGGATGACACTCTGACCAACTGAGCTACCCTGCCGGGGCATTGCTAGGAATTCTTATACCACCTCACCTGATAGGCAGTAACAGCGCAGGAAGTTCTGCTTTTAGGCTGGAGCGGGTGCAAAAGAAAAAGTGCATAACGTGTTATACAGTTGGTCCCTTACGCATATCCCAGACTGTACGTTTAGCTGAACCATGACAAGAATATACTCGTGCACCACTCAGTGCATTGTTTTAGACTTGATGGATTCAGAAGGATGGTGAATTTATCTCAGTTTTTAGAGGCGAAGTTTTCACCCTGCAGTTTGGTGATCACATTAACCACCAGACCTGTGTGGTTCCAAATTCTCTCTGGTCTTGAAGCAATTTCAATCTTGGATAAATGTGTAGGACACTACAGTATTTATCAGAAGGCACACAGATTTTTCATCTTCAAAATGCACCCCCGTCTTTTGTTTTAAGGATGAGAGTTGAATGAGAGACTAAACAAGCTCCTTTTGAGTCAAATGAAGTGTCAAATGTAACGATACATTTCCTAGAATTCCTACCAGGCTCGTAAGATGGGCTGATTGATTCAGGGTTTTCCTGGATGGAGGTGATCCTAGCAATAGACTCTCTGTAAGTCTTCCCGGAGAGAGGTGGTTTCTGTGCAGTTAAAGATCAGAAAGTGAACGCTTGTCTTACCTNCTCAGTGCATTGTTTTAGACTTGATGGATTCAGAAGGATGGTGAATTTATCTCAGTTTTTAGAGGCGAAGTTTTCACCCTGCAATTTGGTGATCACATTAACCACCAGACCTGTGTGGTTCCAAATTCTCTCTGGTCTTGAAGCAATTTCAATCTTGGATAAATGTGTAGGACACTACAGTATTTATCAGAAGGCACACAGATTTTTCATCTTCAAAATGCACCCCCGTCTTTTGTTTTAAGGATGAGAGTTGAATGAGAGACTAAACAAGCTCCTTTTGAGTCAAATGAAGTGTCAAATGTAACGATACATTTCCTAGAATTCCTACCAGGCTTGTAAGATGGGCTGATTGATTCAGGGTTTTCCTGGATGGAGGTGATCCTAGCAATAGACTCTCTGTAAGTCTTCCCGGAGAGAGGTGGTTTCTGTGCAGTTAAAGATCGGAAAGTGAACGCTTGTCTTACCTATTTGGTAATCCATTGGAGAGCGCCACTCATTCTTTCAGACACTCAGCCAGATTCACTGAGTCCCTGGAATGTGTTGACCCCTCGCTAAGGCTTGTAGATGGGGGTGGAGGTGAGGTAAGAGTCTGCTTCTCATGGGCTTAATCTGGGTGTTTTACAGTTCACACTGGATGAAAATGCCAGCCACAGGGCAGCGTTCCAGCTGTCACTTAAGGTCGCTATGACCTCAGAGTCAGGATGTCTTAATGGAAGCCTAGTGTGGTGGGTGGTAGTGGACGGAAATCACCCGTTGCATTGCCAAGTGTCTCTGTATTCCTCTATCTTGGACTCCAGGCTGAAGCAGTGCCAAAGGCCATCTCAGTCCTCCAGTCCTGTTTTCATCTGGGAGGTTATCTGAGAAGCCACTATCATTCCAAGGTCAGACTGACCAGTATCTAGTGATTCTCTATCCAGCTTCTTTCTTGATGTTGTTCAAGACCTTGACAGGATCCCATCCATACTCCTGCTCCCCGCCCCCCCAAGTTGAGGTGGGAATTAGATTAGCTTCTGAAGAATGGCTGCATTCTTCTTCAGGTCATCACCCTTCTACTGCAAACCAGAGTAAGCATCGTTTTCAGCAGCCTGCTCATGGTGGAGATAGGCAAGAGCTATTGCCCAAGGGCGAAGTCTGGTATCAAGCTCTCTCTTTACCAGTGTTCTGCCAAGCACAACTCTTAATCACTTGGTAGGACATTTGAGAAATGAATGCAGGAGGATCCGTAGGAAGGGAAGTCAATTCAGGACATTGGCTTATTTTTTAAGATAGCACATCTGTAAACAGGGACTTCCTGGCCATCTTTTATCATGTGAAGCTTACCTTAAACGAATCTTTAGCCCAGGAAGATGAACTGGACAAGTTGGTCCGTAACTGTGGGTCAAGCATCTGACACACGGGGGCAAAAAGGAGCGTTGATACGTGCATTTATTTTTAAGTGCCTCAAGAGAGAGATCGGAGTTAGGCCATCTCCCTCTGGTACCCACGACGCTAGTCTCTTAGGTGAGGCACCGCTGGTTGTTATGGCAGCATGTTAAATGTTTTTAAAAATAGTGGTCACACCTGTGCTTTGTGTCAGACCTAGATAAATCAAAGGGAATTTTCTATAGCTCAGTGCTGCTTTTGCTCATTCCTGTTGAGCCTATCACAGCAGTTGAGGGTGAAAAAGTTCAGCAGATGTGTCTTGAGTTTAGTTCAGACTCCCCTTGCCGTGTTCAAAGGTGCTGTATGTTTTTTAAGGACAGTTGTAAATTGTTTGAGATTCAGCAAGTTACGTAAAGTTACCAAATAAAACACTTTGGCTTAGATAATATTTAATTATCATTTGAAATCAAAGTTCTGTCTTTTCCTTCTCTTTTGCTCATATAAGATATCTTAATCATAAACAATTCTAGTTCGATTAAATGAGCAAGAATACTATGACCAAAATATTTGACAAGTAGATTACATCAATATATCTATATACACACATATGTGAATATATCTGTGTATTTGCAGATTTTTAGTAATGCATTATTTGGGAAAATAAAGTCTGGGAGTTTTTTCGATATTGGAAATGTGTTTATTTTGAATTCAACCTGAAAATGAAAAAAATTTAAACTCGTCTCTGAAAAAATTTTCTCCTTTCCCCATCTTTCTGTTTTAATACCATTGTGATAACCTGTAAAACAAGGTTGAATAAAAATGAGATTAGGCTTTAATACCTGCTTGGTAGGAGGTGGGATGACAGTTACAGTGATGTTTTACATGTTAAACAGGGTCAGCCTTTACAGGATTAGTTTTGATAAGAGTAAGGTAAGGTGGTTTTCAGATGAACTGATGGCTTTTATCAGCTCATCTTGCAGACAGTGGGTCCTACTCTCTGGCAGGTGACGTGACCCCGGCTGTTGTCACTGACACGATCTGTCCTAACAGACCACTAATGAAGCAGAACACACAGTATTCCTGGGCCAGGTTCCACAGACGCTGTAGCTCAGGGACTCACGGACACTGCGTCATCTTTCTTGGGAAAATATTTCCAATGCTCATTGTCTACAGGAGGAAGGAGAAGTAAAAGCAGAGAGCAATTGAGAGTTTAAAAAATAAGACGGGCCTCTCTGTTTGTTCCCAACAGTCTCCTGCGGACCGATGTCAGAAGATTCATGCCGGCGATGAAGTCATTCAGGTGAATCGGCAAACTGTGGTGAGTTTTTCGTGGCGGCTCAAGACTTAATCGTCTCCTCTAGAACTTTTAACTAAACCCATAGCCATTTTGCTTGAAATTTTAAAATTTGCAGTTTACACCCAGCTTTCCGTAATTGTAAGCAGTGCTAAGGTGAACGCATCCGTATGGGCCTATTTGTATCTATTTGCTCATGACCGGTGTCCTTGAGATACATTCATAGGTTTGCTTATTTCTTCATTCATGAGCAAGTCCCTTCTCCGCATTTTCTTTCTTCGAAGGTGGGATGGCAGCTGAAAAACCTGGTGAGAAAATTGAGAGAGAATCCCACAGGAGTGGTGCTGCTGCTCAAGAAGCGCCCCACGGGCTCTTTCAACTTCACTCCCGCGCCCCTGAAGAACCTGCGGTGGAGGCCGCCTCTCGTGCAGGTGGGTGTCTGGCCTGTCCCACTGCCTGCCAGCTGCTTGGCCCACAGAACAGATGCTGGGCTCTGAG